TGCGCCATTTGTCTTCCTAGTTTTGCATCGCTCGCTTGGCTCTCAATCTTCCTTCCATTAAAAGTGACGACCAACAAGATTAGGAGTGAGAGACCAAGGTGAAAAGTTCTATTTGTTAATTGTGTGATTATTGTTCTCTTCTCCCATAACATTACATCTATTTCTATGTTGTCAAATTTGATATTGTCCTCATTAATCTAGTTGTAACCACATGCCTTACTTAATTTCGACTTGATATTCGAAGAACTTATTTGGGTGAACATTAATCTATAACTAGCAAAGCTTTAACAATCTTATATTGAACTCCTCAAGCAGTTTCTGTTTCCATGCATACGTTTCACATCAATTACCCTTCCCGATAACGAGAGAGAAACTTCTCGATTAAGGCTAGTTATCAATTAGATACATAGAGATATGTGATATTCTAGCGATATAGTAGCATCTTGGGTTCGTATTTGAAAAATTTGATATTTAAAATTTAAACACTTACACCATCTTGCACATTAAAGCGGATGGTGGGGGGGGGGATGATGATGAGCCCGATCAAGACCTCATGGTTCCGTTATCCCGGACTATCGTGGTCCATGGTCTACTTAGTCAGAGGAGGTAGTTGACTCAACCTGAACAGAAGGATCCTTGTTGGCAACCATCAGTTGCTTCGTCCAGGGTTTCTTTGTAGACTTGGGATGAGTATTTATCTGGGGGACAAATTTGAATCCATCTTAGATGATAGAGGGCTTTTGTGCCTTATCAGTTATATCTATTGACTCATATCTCAAGGATTTAGTGCCATTGGAGAGCATACGGGGCTTTGGCCATGACCGTAATTTATTAGCGTCATTTGGTGGCAAGCCTCTCGATTCAAAAGAGCCTCGGTCATAACCGTTTACCTGCAGTGTCATTTTGGCAGCAAAATCGCCTTTTAGAGTACACGTGCCACATTCTCGCTGACAAGAGACTGTTTGAGAAATGAATCTTAGTGATATTTTTTGACCAGACATAGTTCTTTGTGAGTTGAAGTTAGGTGGTGTCAACTTTTGACCCGACCCGAAAAATCCGGGTTGAACCCGACCCGTTTGACGGGTCCGGGTTCGGGTTCGTAAATTTGATATGTTTGATTAAAACGGGTTCGGTCGGGTTGACCCGGAGGGTTGCCGGGTCAACCCGACAACCCGTTTAATTTAAAAAAATTTGAAATTTCCGCCGGTGCCGCTGCCCCAGCCCGAGCTGCCCGCTGCCCGCGTCCGCCTGCCCAGCCCGAGCTGCCCGCTTCGCCATGCCGCGTGCCGGGCGCAGCCCGCGCTTCGCCTTCGTGTGCGCATGCCGTCCCCGCTGCCGCCGTTGCGCGCTTTCGCCGCGCTGCCGTCGCCAGTCCCAGCTAGCTGAATCGCGTGCCCGGCGCCGACACTACGAAGAAGGC